TGCTATTTTTACATTTTGAACTGTTCTTTTTCCAAGCTTTCATTATAACAAATAAAAATGCTTTAACAAAATAAGATGTCCAAGAGATATTTGAACCCCTGGGGAAAAAGTCTTCATTGTTACCTGGGATGAGCAGGTCATGGACTCTCCAGTCTCCAACAAGGAATTAAGGAGACCCTTCATCTCCTACTTAATATAGTAAGTGCTTCTTGCTTCTCGGGACAGAGCTTTACATGACAAACAGAACTCACACGATGTAAAAGGTGAGAATATCATACAGTTAGTTCTCTAAATTCATCATCAGTTTTCAATTTGCACGAACAAATCCCAGGATTCTTCCTCTGGTGGTGGTGAATTAATTGTATTAATTCTCTCAATGTGTATTAAGGATGTTTTCCCAGTGAACAGACGCATTTGGTGCTCTGGGCATCCTAACAGAAATTAAAATTAAATCAACTCTGTGCGAGAAGTTCTCATGTAATGAGCCATAAGCAGCCGTAAGTGCTCCAAGACTACACACCAAACGTCCGCACAGCAGAAATGCTCTTGTCAAATGCTTTGGTGCACTACCAGGAACTTCAGCAAATTCTGGTTCTCAAAGAGCGAGGGAAGCAATTGATAAGGAGTTCAGAATCTTTCATAAACTGTAACCCATTAAGAAACCACATTTAGCTCTCCTATTTCTGCAGCTTAAGCACATTGCACTTGCAACTCAGTTAAACAAAGCAGCGGTCACTTTAAATTCTGAATTTACCATCAGCTCCATCATCTTTGATATTCAAAAAATGACCAAATTTTGAAGTAAGGTAACGCTGGGAGTCCTGTGGACTATGTGATGTGGAGCAGAAGGTGCTTTCTGAAAAGGAGAAGAATGTATTCAGTAGTTTCAGCAGGGCTTTTCCTGTATTTCTAAAGAAAGGACAGAACATTTTTGCAAGGCCTGTTAAACTGGCATCATGGTGGTAAATAATATTCCTTCTATCTAGTCCCTTTGCTGGATATCAGTAAAGGACACAGTAAGCATTACCATCAGATGCTTTTCATTGTTTGTTGTCATTGGCAAGAAGACTGAACAGAAATTCTGGAGTCCCCTGTGGAAATACAGAATCTACCACCAGCTCACATCTTGGAGGATACAAAGTGCTTAAAATGATTAAAGTGCAGAGATAATAGTTTTTTGCTAACGTATCTCCCAGCTAGAGACCTACCCAAAGAAATGGGAACTAATCTCTTTGGACAGAGAAAATAAGGTAAGCACCTCTGCAGTGTTAATAGAAAGCTTCCCTCATTTGGACATGATCAAAATTCCCTACAAGCAACTTCTGCAGCCATATCCTGCAAAGAACTTCTCTCAGGCTTTACTTGGCTTCCTTTGTGGACTATGCATACTCCATATATGTGCTGGAAAAAATGGAATTACTTTCTGACAAAAATACCTGCAGCAATGAAGAAGCATTATAAAATACTCTTCTCACTAAATGGATCCTAATCACACATAATTAAAATTCTTACAGGCTAATCATTCAATAAGCCTTAATTGTGAGACAAAAAAACTCATACAAGGTGTACTAGTTGGAACCTGAGCAGGAAAAAGAAAAGAAAGAAGTAGTTCACTGGTGTTCCTGGGTAAGGGCAGATTTACAGAAATATTCTGAAATGCATTTTTTTTTATCCCATGCACAGAAATGTGTTATATGAACATACTGTTTCCCGTACTTCCATGAAGATATATTTCCAACATGTTCTACAGTTTATCTAAAGAAGACTGAACAGATTCAAGATGGTGATTAAAAAAATAAAGAAAAATTTTATGGTAAGTATAACTCATCTCTGTAAAGTGGTGCAAAGGTATGACACACTTCATCTGAGAGGGTGCTAATTGTGGTTGGCAAGGAAACTCATGAATGAAAGCTTGTCTCTAGGGCTGCACAAGTTTGGCTACAATTTAAACAAAGAACTTCAGTTATTTGTGCTAGAAGTTTCAAACGCTTGCTAGAGAAGGACGCTACAAATGAGCATTGCAATGCCTGCAGATAGGGATAATGAAAAATAAACAGCATTACCTGAATATACACACCAACTTCTTTAAAATTATTTGCTAAAATTTACTAGTAGTGCAAATGGGATTCTGCTGAGTGCAATTCCTCCCCAGACATGTGTGTGATTCCTTGATGTAGAGTGTTACCAAACACTCACCTATCAGAAAAACAGAGTAGAACACCTGCTGAATGCAGGCAGGTCGAGACAGCACGGTTCTATGAGCAACTACTCCACCCCTGTTTGTCGCACTTGTTTCTGTTGCAAGTAAGGAACACGGAGTTCAGTGTTACTCTTGGAGGCAAATGCCAAGTTCTGGGACTGAACTTTCCTGCAGCGAGAAGGAAGTGTCACAGATGTTTGTGCCCGAGACAGGAAAGGTGGTGCTCAAAGTCAAGAGCTATTGTGATGAGTTGGACAATTTCCACTGAGATTGTATGGGAGATACCATGTTCAAGAAGTTATTTGATTCTTTAAATGCATCCTCCTTTCCATGCATTGGCTAGTGTCCAAACACCTTCGAGAAATGAGCATCAGTTGTGTTTAATGTGAACCTTTTAAGACATCTTCTTTTCTGATACTTCCTTTCTTCGTGTTTTTAGCACTGCACAGTATTGCTTACCATGTAAAACCCAGTAACTGCACACTATCAACCACATCTTTACCATTCTAATACATTAATTACTGATGCTTTACTGCTTGCACGTGCTGAAATAAATATAGAATAATCTAAGCTGCATGCAACACCAGAAAGACTTTGCACATCTTGCACAAGTACATGCTTGTTTCTATATATTATGTGCATTATCTGTAATGAGGTAAAGCATTTTTGAACCAATTACGTAACCTCTGTTTTTATACACCAGGCAGAAATATGGATAAATGCTGCTATCACCTGAAATCACAGATAATCTTTTTTTTCATCTGATTTTGCAGTGCAGACTGAACTTTGTCAACTTCACCTCTCCATAGCAAATGGATTGCTTGTGCTTGTTTTGAGGAAAACAGAAAAAAAATATATTTTTTATGAACTGACACCAACTTGAGTAAGATGAAAACAGCAAATATTCCTATCATTCAATTTATTTGAAGGGGAAAAAAGACATAACCTAATCTCCTTGGCATAATTATCTGACAGCTCATCTTCAGCACCAATCACACTCAAAATTCTTCACTAGAATTTAAATACATTGGTTGCCCTCATTACTTTCGGTTTTTTGTGCACCAATGAATATATATGTGGAGATTTTGTTGTTGTTTAATTCTTAGTTTTCATAGAACTCTCTAGACTAACTTTTTACTCCCAAAACATTAAACGATATGAATTTTAAAGGGGAAAAATCAAATATTTAGTCATTTTGATGGATGATGTAGGCATGGTCATTGCGATGACTTGGTGGAGCTTCCTTGATTTGTCCCTAGAAACTGAATGCAAAAGACAGATGGATCCACGTTCAGTTGAATCCTTGCTTTGCACTGAAACTCAAACAATAAGAATCAGTTTGCAAATGTAATTCATTAATAACTACAAATTTCTGGCTGTGGGAAAAGTGTCTTTTCATGGAAAAAGTTCCTCGAGCTAAAGGAACTGCAGAGGTTTTTTAAGGTGTGTGCCTTCCTGCCTCCCTGTAACACAAATCTCTGATACTTTTCTTGCCACCTTTGTTAATGACAACAGCTGTTTGGTCACATGTAATAATTTGTTCTGAGTTTAGAGTATCATTTCCCTCATCACGAGAACGTGCTGTTTGGGCACAGTAGTTACCTGCTGAGCTCGTATGTTCCTCATTTTTCTGCGTCAGCTTTCAAAGTTCAGGATCTTCTTCAACAAATAAAATGGCAAAGCAGGATTAAGATCATAATGCCTGTGCCAGATATCTCTGCTAGAAAAGGGGAAATTTAGAAGTAGATTGGTTCTATTCAATTTCACCTTGTTTTATAATCCTAATTTATTCAGTGGCACACATTACACTGCATACATGGCAGTTGTTGCCTGCACTGCCAGTTCTAACAGCAGACTCGCATCTGAACTGTTTCATTCAGAGGCTGACAGAAGTGAACCTGAAGTGAACCACAGGTTTTACTGAGATCTTTAACAGTGCACTGTTGCTCCCAGGCCATTGCTGGTGTTAGTTTGTTGTTGAAATTGGTTAAAATCTGATTAAGTAATAATTAAAATTAAGTAACTCTAATTTAGAGGAACGTCTAAGTTACGTGTTCTAGTTTAACGGCCAGAACAAACCACCTCCTTCCAACCCAGCAATTCAAACAAGCCACGTTTGAAATGTCAAAGCATTTGTCTGCAATGGAGTACACCAGAGTGCTGAAAGTCGTACGAAGTCCCAGAACTTGTCGTGTACGTGCGTGCTTTGTTTGGAGGCACCAAAAGCCGCGCCAGAGCCGGGGCTCAAATCGGGCTGGGGTTCCACGAGGCCTCCGCCTCCCTGCGAACACACAGACAGACACACACACACACACACAGACAGACACACAGACAGACAGACACGCAGACACACACATAGACGGACACACACACACACACACACGCGCGCGCGCGCGCGCGCGCACAGTCCGGCAGCTCAGCCCTCAGCCCCGCGCCAAGCAGCGCAGAGCGGAGCGGAGCTGCCGATCACGGCCCCGCAGGGCCCCGCGCTCCGCGCAGCCGAAGGAACGCCTCGTTCCCGGGCGGGCCGCGGCTCCACCGCTTTTCCCGAGCGGCGCCGCTCCCCTCCCGCCGGGCCTCGCCCTCACCTCGGGCCCCCGACGGAGCGCCGCCCCGCGCGGCCTCACCTCGCGGCGCCGCGGCGTCCCGCCTCGGGGCGGAGCTCCGGAGTCGGGCGGGGCGGGGCGACGCGCCGAGCTTCGGCCGGGCTCCGTGAGAGGGCGCGCGGCGCCCGGAAGCGGCGGCCCCGACGGCCGGCCCTTCCCGCCCCTCACGCGTGAGGCGGCCGCGCGGCGTCAGCGCGCGCCTCCCCGCCCCCGCCCGAGGGCCAACCGCCGGGGCGCGCGCCCGGGGGCGGTCTCGGAGCTCGCGAGAGGACATCATGTCCGCGGCGGCGGCGGGCGAGGGTGAGCGAGGGCGGGGAGGGGGCGCGCGTGAGAGAGCGGGCGGGGGGCGCGCGGTGCCGCCGGGCCTCTCCGCGCCTCGGGCGCCGGCTGGCGGAAAGGCCGCGGGCCGGGCGCCGAGGGGAAGCGCGAAGGGCGGCGGCGCAGCCCGGCCCCGCGGCGGGCCGCCCGCTCTCCCGGGCCGGAGCCGTCCCGAAGGGGCTGAGGCCCGCGGCCCGGCGCCGGCCGCGCTGCCGCGGGCCCCGAGCGGAGCGCCGTCCTCCCGCCGGCGGAGGGCGGCGTCCCCTCGGCGCGGCTCCTCCGCGCCGCTCGGCGCCCGCCCCGCCCCTCCCGCAGGTGGCCGCCCGGCCCTCGGCGCGCCCTGCGGCGGTGCCCCGCGCTGCCCGTGCGGGACGGGCGCGGACTCGCTCGCTTTGTCTCCGGCGTAGGACGGAGAAGCTGATGGGTGAGCAGCCGGGCCCGGGCCGCGCTTCGGGCTGAAAGGCATCCGCAGGGCCCGGCCTTCGCAACGAGCGCGTTAAACGAAAGCTTTTCCCTCTCGGAGCGCCGAGCGCCACCCCAGTCCGCTCCTGCGGTCCTTTCCCTCACCCGTACGGAAGCCCTCGTACCGGGGCGTGCCGAGGCGTTTGCAGCAGTCCTGAAATAAGATTTGAAGTTCGCAGGGGAAAGCTACACGAGGAGGGACCTCCAGTGCCGGTCAGCCCTTAAATGAGGTCTAACAGCTGCAGCCAGGCTGCACCCCTTCCAACCTCGCAGCTGAATTGCTCTCACCTGTGTTCCTGGAGCTGACCCGGTCCTTTCCCAGGTGATCGATCAGTGGTTCAGGCTGGGACTCAGCAGCTCCCATACACCAGCCTTCAAGATGATTGTGATTTTTGAGCTTCCCTAAATATGGTACACAGTAGGTTTCTGCTGGCATAATTATATGTGTGTACATACATACACGTGTATGTGCATTCTGTAACGTGCTAATAAATGATGATTGAACAGATGTTTAATTCTCATAGCATAAAGCCAAAACATGAATGTTATCAGTTCCCTTTTTCTTTAGAGAGATTCATTTGCCTTGATGTCTGGAGATAAAGTATGTTTCTGTTAATAGATGAAGTTACAGTGAATAAGTATAACGAGCAGTTAAACTTGGAAGCGTAAGGACATTCCAGCTGTAAAGGATTCTGCAAATAGGACTTGAAGGAGCTAGAACTTGTTCGTGTATTGCGGTTGGGTTGGAAGGGGTGGGTGGTGCATCTCTGGCTCTATTACCTTTGCCAGAGGCAACTGGAAAAGCAAATAACTGGTGTGCTAGAATTTGAGCCACTATGTGAAAGGTGCTGAAGAATGAAATCAGAACACAGTGAAAGTAGTTTACCTTAAGGACTTTTAACACAGGAACTTTAACATAAGTGTAGGAGCTGAGAAAAAAAGACTCCCATTGTTAATGTTTTAAATTTTTGAGTGAGATGGTATATGTAACTTTTAAGACAATCTTTGTGATGTCTTTTGTGATCTTTGTTTTTCTTATCTTTTCCATTTACCAGAAATGTGCTGAAAGCAGACACTACAAGAGAACACTCTAAGAGAAGGATCCAAGGTAAGTGCTGCATCTTAAAACTACTGCAATTTCTTTAATACAGGTTTTTTAATTAATGAAACTGTGGTATGAAACTTGTGTTATTTTGTTTTTTTAAATGAGCCATGTATTACATATATTAGCTACTATTATATATATACACACACACCACATATAGGATTATTTTATAATCCTGGTGAAGTTGATGGTTTTTCATATAATTTTTTTTTTTCCTCATGCAAATAAAGAATTTGGGGATACAGTTAAATCATGTATTCTCTTTTTTTGAGGACTGTCATGCTTACAAGCCTTTGCAGATTTTGGAAGAGTTTCTAAATGTTAGCAGCATTTTGTTTATATTTAACAGTTATTTGATAGTGACTCAGGTTACTTTACTAGCAGAGCATGTCACAGCACAGCACTTCCAGACTGCCACCGTACCAGTGTGTTGTGATTAAATAGATCCTGTTATAGATGAAGATGGGAAGCTGCCTTCTCAGATGGAGTAACAGAGAATGTTGTGGTAGGATTGTACTTCAGTGTTAAGATGACTAAACAGCTTAGTAAAATAAGTTGTACAATCAAAGAATGTACAGATGTTATAATTATGGAACATACTAGAGAGTTTGGCTAAGCAAGCTATTATACAAAAGAGAATAGACAGAATGCTTACCTGGGCTCGCTGCAAAACTCCAAACAAGAGATCTCCAGAGGAAATCTTCCCCACTGGTAGTCAGCTCTTAAATAGGTGTAGGAGAGGTGCAGCCAGGCTCCACCCCTTCCTGCAGCACAGGTGAATTGCCTTCACTGTGCTCCCATGGCTGACTCACTGCTCGCCTCAGGTGATCAATCAGAGGTTCAGGCCGTGATTCAAGCCTCCTTGATCCTCCTTTCTAAGATAAAACAGAGCATTATTCCACCTCTACTGAAAAAGCTAGACAAATTTTATGGCTAAGAACTGCTCAAGAGGCTGCAAGGAGAGCAACAAGTACAAAATCTTCTGGATATGTGCAGAAAGTAGTATATATCTGGAGCACTGATGTATTCCAACAAATCTGTTTGCAGCCTAAGCCAAACTGGAATTTACCACTGGAGTATCCCAGCCAGCCAGTGGAATGTAGTGAGAATAATCACAACTGCAGTCTGACTTAAAAAGCAAAGACAATTTCCAGAGTTTAGTAAGAATTTTTAATTATGGCTCTAGGAGTGTGGTGGTCTGCCTTTATGCTAACTTGCCATTTGTGTAACCACACTGAATGATGGGGTACGTTTGACTTTCCTAGTGTGTAAATGCTATCAAGATACTTCATGGAATCACATTTCTCCCCTGGTTTTAAAATGCAGTGAAAGCTACCAATAATGGACTCGGGAATATTCAACGTATTATTTCTCTATGCTTCACCTAATCACTTGTGAAAGCCTGTTGCTTCATTTGATGGAAGAGAACCCGAGATGTGACTTGGCTGGCTTCTAGAGGGTTTTGAATTGGATGGTGCTATCTCCTGCCTTGCCTGTACTTTTTTTTTTTTTTTTTTTTTTGGACAAGTTAACCAGCTTCTGAGAGAAATATCTCAACTGATTTTGTAACCATACTCCTAAGTTTGATGTTTAGTAGAGAAGTCCTAGTCAGACAGAACTCTGATTGGCAGCAGCTGTCTGGGCAGTCAGAAATATTCACTCTGGACTGGCCATATAGGACACCTTATATGTCCTGTCACTTGTCTGGCAAGGGTGGCAAGTGAGGCACAGTTGGGAAACTGGACTTACTGGAAGCTTGGACTGTTAACAAATTACTAGTTTTCAGAGAGAGAAACCTCATTTGATAAGCACTTAGCTCTAAAATCACTAGTAAATGAATAAATGAACTAATAAAATAAAATTAAAATACTATTTCAGTTTTTGTTGTGTAATTTCAAATCACTTTTAATCTTATTTAACTGTTCTATCAGAAAAGGCAAGTGTAGCATTAGAAATGAATAATTCATGACCTTAGTAAATAGGAAGGTACTGAATGAAAATGTAGTCATGGTCCATTTGAATATTGTAGAACTGCACTAGTGAAAATATGGAAGTCGCTCCAAAAGTAAGACCTCCTAATTATTTCAATGGAAGCCACAGCTGACACAAAGGGCACAATACCATGACTTGAGAGAGCAAATTCTCAGCTACAAAACACTATTTTTCAACATAGTCATCAGTATTAGTTATGCTTTTTTGCCAGTGATAAACAAGAGCCTGCAAGCCATGCTTGTAAAAACCTGTGTGCCCATCTGGAACATGACTAGTCTTTCACATCTCTATTGCCCCTGCTGAAATGCACCACCTACTGCCTCACTGTACTAACAGCTGCTGTTTGGTTTCCATAAATGTTCACAAATGCTGATGAATGTCAGTGGGGGCCATTTTTTTCACATGAGCGAATTCAGTTCCACCCTTTGCTCCACCCTCACTTCATGTCAGGCGCCATTCTGTCACAGTGCCCCTCTGCTGCCATCTGTCACACAGCAACAACATCACAGAACGCTGGTGGGAAGGTTCAGCCTCTGCTGCCATCCCACCAACAGCTGCCTCTGATGTTGTGGGCTGACATCATAAAATAGGAGGCATTACTTTCGGAGCAGACCTTGTATTAATTTGTCTCTTTCTAATCACGGTGTAGTAGTTTGCAATTCTACTCCATACTGAGGGTAAATATGAACAGTCCTCTCTTTTTTGTAGTTGCACTGCACTTCGTTCTGTGCTGATTAATAATAATGCTTTCTAGGCTTATTAGTCATAGGATTGCTCAGATTGAAAAAGGCCGCCAAGGTCATCAAGTCCAACCTCAGTGTAACCATACTTCCCTACCTCTAACAGCCCTCTGCTAAATCACATCCCTGAACACCACATCCAAACAGATTTTAAGCACATTCCTGGGCAGCCCATTGCAGGGCTTAACAACCTTTCTGTAAAGAAGTGTTTCCTGATACCCAACCTAAACTTACCCTGGCACAACGTGAGGCCGTTTCCCCTCGTCCTGTCACCAGTGAGAAGAGACCAGCCCTGCTCTCACTGCAGTCACCTTTCAGATATTGGAAGAGAGCAGTAAGGTCTCCCCTCAGCCTCCTTTTCCCCAGGCCAAACAGCCCCAGTTCCTTCACTCTCTCCTCACAGGTCATATTCTCCAAGCCCTTCACCAGCCTTATTGCCCTTCTTTGGACCTGCTCCAGCACCTCCATGTGCTTTCTGTACTGAGGTGCCCAAAACTGAACACAGTACTCGAGGTGAGGTCTCACCAGTGCTGAGCACAGGGGGAATCATGTTTCATGTTAACCAAAATACAGGCTTAGGTAACAGAGAACAGCCTGATACGCTATTCTTCTGAAAGCAATGGGGATTGTTCTCATGTATAATTGAAGTGCTGAACTTAATGCTGAGTGCTTTAGGCCCATGGAGGCAAGAACTCAGGTAAGTTGCCAGGGCTTCTTGCTTTTCCAGCATGAAGCTGGGAGCAAGACATTTTCCTTTGTTTCTGTCGTGGTAAATACAATGCTAGGTCGCTTCATGTCCTGGTCTATCTGCAACCCTTGATTCTTACAGGGAATATGTCTGCTACTCTTTTAGCAACATGTCTGAAAAGATCAACAATTAGAAGTAAGCCTGTTTGCAAATCAACATTTCACCTTTTCATCATCAAATAAATGTTTCATCTTTGCATCTGTGAATGACATTTTTCTGTGCTGCATCAAGCATAGTGAGCTTGACTTCCTGACATTGATTCTTTAGTGGTTTTTATCATCTTAGGAGCCTGAATTCCTTAATAGTCACTTCAGAACAAAAGTTTTTCAAATTTTTCTTTTGTGATAGAGATTGACAGCTGCTGTAAAATTGCACTGAGGCTGTCTGAGCCACCACCACAAAAATCTTCCATATCCTGAATCTCTAAGGCAAATTCACATTACAGAATATATTAAATTGTGTTCAGATTATTGCTATTAAATCCAGATGTTAATATAATAGTTGTCCACTTGTGTGATAAGCTGAATCTCTCTGATTGTTTATTCCATATTTTAAGATCTTATACTTGGATACTTGGCTAAAGCTGTTAATTAAATGTTTGAAAACTGGTTTTAAATCTGGGCATGATGCCAAAAGCAACAGAGAGAGAGAGGAGTCATAGTTGAGCTCGTTTTTGATCTTCACACCAAACAGTGAAACGCTAATGAACCAAACGTGGAAAAAAAGATGGCAGGCTCTGTGTTTTTTCTTCCTTTATCCAAATGTGAATTTGCAAGGTAACCAGCCATAATCTGTCATCACGAAAAAGGTGGACAGTGGCATTTTTATTGTTGGAAGGCTAGGAAACAGTTGCTGAAAACTTGATTAAAAATTCTAGAGATGTTAAAGTCAGTTTGCCAGACAATCCTTATATAAATGAAAAAGAGATCATAAAAAATTCAAAAGCAGAGAAACTTGTGAAAATAGAGTTCCAGGTGGTATATTCCACTGAAGTCCAGTTCATGCCCTTAAAGGCTCTTACATCTCACAAAGTGATGACTTTCAGTATTTCCTATCCACAGAGAGACACCAGCACACAGGCAGGGAGGCATGGGCATTGCTGGCTCTATCTTTTATTTTGCTCCCATTTCATAGAATATGAAAATGTGTTGTTTGATGAGGTCCTAATCCTGCAAAGCTTTAAGCATTCATCTATGACATCACGCTCATTGCACAAAGTTAAACACATGCTTGATGCTTTTCAGGATTTAGAAACAGATGTTAGTACAGCTTTAGGAAAGCAGTGGCTGTGACTTAGCATAAGCAAGGAAATCTATAAATTGACGAGTGCTCAGAGTAGTACTCTAGAATTATGGCCTTACAAAGTGTTCGTACTTAAATTAATCTATGTGGACGTGCTGTGTCACAGTAATCTCACTTTGTTTTAAAGCACTGCGTAAGTTGTACACGTTAGCAGTATTTTTGTATGTAGTGAATGAGCAGTCTTTCTCCATGTATTTGATTCTTGCATGTAAGTCACTTTGTAAGTGTGAAAGCAAAGCAGAATTTGTGCGTTTTTTGCTAATCTTTCTTCAGTGATAATACAGTGAAAGAGGGACTTGGAATGTGTGTGTTTTGAACATGGAGCTTTCTGAATATGCCAAAATTACTGTACAGAAATTAATGAATCTTTATAATTATGTTTGTCTTGAATTGTATCATTTGTGTATTACTTAGATTTACTTAGACGAATAAATCTCTTTAATTATTTCAGAGCATTTGGGTATTCATTATGATATCATATTATTTGGTAGGAAATACTTCCATAGCTTGTTTTTCAGGGCTCTTTCTTAAAAATAATAATAATAATAATAATAATCTTAAAAAACACATCCATGAGAAATATAACTTAAACCAGATTATCAGAAGGAATGCCCTCGTGGTGTGACACAAGGGATGAATGTGATAACAATACTCACTATCATGAAATAGTGAGAAATTGGTCCTAAAGCAAAGCCAAGCAGTAAGAAGTGGGTTTGGGCCTTGCTTTTACTTCTGCAAAAAAGTCCAGTGTTTCTGGAGTTCAGCTGATACATTTTAGGTGAATACTGAATATAGTTACAACATCACACAACTATGTGACATCATGGGAATGACTGAAAACTGTTTTGTAGGTTAATGTATCACATGCTGCAATTTCATCAGGGGTTTCTGTTCAGCAAAAGGATTTTAATAACCTATTTGTAGTGGTAACGGTCACCTTGTTTCAGGTAAATAATTAATGACAAGTCATTACTTACTGCTCAGTCTTGGTTGTTTCTCAATTTGTATGGGTTATTTACATTAATTCTTCTTTGCATCTGTGTCAGTTTAGCAGCAGTTATACTGTGAGCTGCAAATGCTGTCAGTTTATAAAAGTGAGCAAATGCAGTCAGTTCGTGCAACATGTAAACCACCCATGTGGCTACAGGAATTAAAAATCTTCCAATATGAAACAAGCTTCAGAGAATCGCTCTACATCTGTAGATGGTTTCAGCCATCTTTCTCTGCTTTTGTGAATAATGCAGTGTAACTGGTGATTTCTCCTGCACACGGATCAGCCTGGTGAGACAAGCTGAGCTGTTCTGGCTGCGGCAGATCTGAGTTGAGTGGTTAATGACTCCCTCCTTCCTCTGCCAGATGTTCCACCCTTCCTCAATTTTACCAGCTTAACCATTTATTTGACTGCTTTCTTACCAGGTCCTGTAAAACAGGCCTGGTTTTAAAAAGTCATTTGCACAGAACTGGAAAAACAGGAAGGTGGACTCTGGGAAGTGTTGAAATGTTGGTGGTAACAATCTACAGCAGTCAGCAGCACATCTTTCTCCGCACTGAGAACGTTCTGAGCAGAAGCAGATGTGGGCAAGACAGGGAGAAACTAGAAATCTGAAAACGAGGATGGATAAAGCGCTGTACAATACGTACCATTCTTTTTTTTCTTTTCAGACTAAAACAGACTGATTAACATTTCTAAATTTACTGTTTCTTAAATATTTTGGGCAGTAGCGGGGCCAGAATGTAGTCCAAAAGATGAAGTTCTGTAGCAGTAAGTGGATGTAGTCAAGAGACTCACCATCTAGATGTTATGGCAGATTGGGAACATCTCTTTGAGGCAACAGTCAAGGGAAGAAAAGATACAACAGGAAAAGTACATGGAGAACATTTGATGGGTAAAGTGAAAGTTGGGATAGGGACAGTAGGAGAAGTGATTTCCTGATACATGGCAGATGGAAAAAACTAGTGAATGTGGGAAGAGGAATTGAGAAGGAAAGGGAGTATTGAAACAATCCACAGAAGCCAAGAACTGCGATCTGTTGCCAGAAAAGAAATAATGGAATTAAAATTTGAAGAAAAACCTGGGCTATGGAAATAATATCTTAATAAATAATACTTAGTGGATATGTTGTTTTGATCAGATTATCAGTAATTTTCTAACAGGGTCTCTAAAAAAATAGAGTATAGTATAGTGTAGGGTCTGGGATTTTTTTTGTTTGCTTTTGCAAAAATATCTTTTAATGGAATTCAAAAATATGTCTTTGAGGAAGGAGAGGCATTAGATTTTTCAGCTTTTTTTTTTTACTGATTTATTAATGATTAAGCACTTGGTGTGTTTCGGTGTTGGTGAACTGCTTTAGCCAGTGTTTAGAAACACTTTGATAAATGAACTTCAGTGACTGTTAGATGATAGAAATGTCTCAGCTATCAGAAGGAATGCTAAAGTAATTGCATTTTTATTGTGCTGTTGAAGAACAAAATGTCTAATATACAAATAAAATGTAAATTACTATGTAGGAGAGAAATTACAGCTTGAAATGTTTTCAGACTTAGGAGCTGGTAAGCTGTGTGTTACTCTAGTTCTGATGTGTTTTTGCAGTGCTTCATAAGAGCTTTTTCTGCATTATGCAGAAGGATATTAGAAAATAATATTTAGAAATGTTTCAGCCTGTGCTGTAAGGGTTTTTCTGGCTGTCCCAGTAGTCCAGGCAAGGTCATAGTAAACCAGAAGTAGGACGGTGGACATCATCTGACCGACCGGTGACTCTGTCAGTCGGCACAGTTGCAGCTGGTGGTTATAACAGAAGCAACCATGTTTGGTGACTGTTATCAGACCTACCTGGTCAACGGTTGGAGTTTAAATTATTTTAACATTTGAAGCAGATGTTCCAGCTGGTTAAACAGCTCTTACTAAGGGTTATCCCTTTCGTTTTTTAAGAATAAGGCGTTGTTGCACTTCTATGTTAAAATCCATTAGCAGTGTTTTCCTTGTAATGTAGAAATACTGTGTTCTTTACCATGAAGAGCAGTTTACAAACTATCTTTTACTCACATCATATGAGTTACATGAATTCCTGAGTTATTACTTTCACTACAACTGCATAAATATTTTCCATAAGATCTCTGAAAATGTTCAGTCTTAACTGAATGAATGAAATTGTTGCAGTCAGGCTTTCTCAGTTTTTGGACTGCACCTTTGCAGTCTTTGAATACGAGAGGCTTTTTTCTCTGTATTTATTAACTTTCTGTTGAGCAGGTCTTAAGTTTTTACGTATTTCTGAAGGCCGCTATGTTTCTTTCCGTACCAGCTTATTCTTGGATGCTGCCAGTTCTGAGTAAGGGGAGGACTCTTCTTTTTCATTTAATATGGAGGGACATGAGAACAGTGATTGTTTTACAAGGAGAAGGTTTAGTGACTTTTTTCATTTGAAATTGTAATTAGAGATAATACTAAAAAATAGCAGATATAAGGATGTTAAAGCTGTTAAGTTTAGCAATCGATGCCGAACTCTACAGCAAACAATTCTACAGTTGGTCTCTCTTATTTATTTTTTATCAAGCAGCTTTGTAGAGAATGAAATATTGAAACATACAATAGTTTAACAGATAAGACTTCTTTGAAAGTGGCTTTAGGCAACTTAAACTCTCCTGACCTAAAGTTTCTGCACTATTGGACTTTAGCTAATTTCAGTATGGAAAATGGAATTCCAGTTCATGTTCGTCTTGGAGTTCATGAGAAATTGTGAGGGCATGGGCTGTGGATTACAGCACTGAACTGTTTAGAACATCAGAGTCTTCAGGCACCCTACTAATAACATACTTCTTCTGGTTATTTTAGAGTATGGATGTTGATCCAGGGATTAAGTTGGATTTACTTATTATCTTTGTTGTGTACTCATAAAAAAGCAATAAGTGATATCCCTTCCTGAGGTCTTGCTTTGTTAGCTGGGATGCTGGTGAGCATCTTAGAAGCATTCTTGATCTGAGAAGTAAAAAGGTTGGATTTTCTTCTGCAAAGAGTATTGTTTTGTTTTTGAAGCCAAAATATTCTCTTTGCGATATATATCTTCATGCTTAATTTCCAGTGTTCAGGAAGTTGGGATATGTGAGAGCTTTTTGTTTTGCTGTTTATTTTTTACCTTAAGCTTAAACATTTGGATTTAAGCATTCTCTTATTATTACTGTATCTGTGAAAAAAAGTATAGCAGTTCTTGGGAAGATGCTTTGGGGTGTAAATCTATTATGGATGATATAACTGCATTCACATTCTGACCTTTTGTCACTACTATATAAAAAGTCAGGTCACTGCATACTGCATGGGGTGTGAGCAGTAGAACTACTGTTCAAACGCCGACTTTGGTTCACTGTCACCAAATATAATACAACAGTGTACTCTTAGCTTCTGGGTCAGGTGACATAATTTGCTCTTTGACTCTGCTGTATTAGATGCAATTTGGAGAAGAAGAATTTGAGTGAAGACTGAGGTGGAAAGAGATTGTCTTTCTGAAGCCGTGAACCTAAACATGACAGCTGGTATATAAATGATGAAACCTGGGTGCTCTTTTCCTTTAAATGGCTTCTTAAAGTTTGCAGTGGACTTGGTAATGCCCTCATTAATACTTCTAAGCCAATCAAAGTCATATTTGCCCAGTTCCAATAGCAGCTTTGGCTAACTGGAATAAGTAGTGTGAGAATTGTATTGACTGTAGAATTCATTTTGACTCTAGGATAATGACAAGGACAGCAGAGAATAATTTAGTGAAGTTAGGAGAGTGCTGAAAGTTTGTGCCAATGCCTCTTGGCATTCATATCCACACAGCCTGCATGTGATGAATCCATGCACACAGTGCACGCAGATAACCAGCCAGTGGGGAGCTACAGGGAAGTCTTCAAAGTCTTGCAGTTGTAGATCGTCAAAGGGTTTGGTCTCATTAAGACAAACATCAAACTAACATCATAAAACTTCCACCACCTCCTGTAGTGATCTTTGGTGGTACTTCTGTTGTTACCTCAGGCACCGTAAACAAAATTGTTAGAAAACAGATGAATCATTGAACTTCTAAGTTGGAAATGTTAATCTAGGTCTCCATTTTATTTCTAGTTGAAAGAAACAACGTAGAGGAGATTAAACACTTCTAGGAACTTTGCAAAGTAAAACCAGTCATTTGGGACATATATATCATCTGCCATGCTTTTTGCGGGGACTACAGAGTGCTAAATGAGAGAACAGAAAGGAGAATTTTAGATGTTAGCATAAATCATATGAAGAAAGTATGATTAATAACTGCTGCTTAGGAATTTCAGAACAGTGAATTTTTAATTTATACATTTATCTATCACTTTCTAAATTTTTCTTTTGTTCCACTAATGGGTTAAATGGTACAAGTTTTAGTTTCAGAAATTAAGAACAAGCTGGCTGGTTGCTGTGGGAGCTAATTGAGTGTACTGTTTGCGTTGCTCATATCTGAAAGTAGCTGTGCTGGCACAAGTCAGCAGGCAACAAAAGTTCTGTGAAAAAGAATTTCTAAACTGTCTTGGGGTTATGAATAGGGACTACTTAACTGGGTACCACCTGCCTGCGTGCGCTGAGTTGCAGTTCAGATATACTCATCCTGATATTTGCAAGATATCTTATATTGAAGTTGCTAGTAAGCTTAATTGTGCTACATTATTTTGAATTCATACATAATTAGTATTTAGTTTATTACTGAACATGAATAGTAATTGAATTTTGTCCTGTAATAGCTGACTGTATTTTTTAAAAGGTTACATCTTTGGTACTCCACATACAATGTTTTGTTAACCCTTTTAATGGTGTCTAGAAAAAAAGAGAAGCAAAGTGTTTCTTTTTCAAGACAATTCATTTTACAGAAATCATTCTGTAACGCTCAATTATGCTCATGAAGGAAGGTAGAAAGTTAGCATGTTTCACAGGAAACAGTCCTGCAGTTCCTTCCTCTTTGACCTGAATCCTAATGCTTTCCTTGCTTTGTTCTGTTCAAGGGCTTGGTTTACAGGCACTGAAATAAACAGAATAGCACCTGCAGCTTAGTCATGAATGGGAACATCTTGAAGTAGCAAAGCAAACAAATGAAATCATGGAGAAGTTATACCTTATCTGAAATGCCTTGGGTGTTCTACCAATACTCATTTTTAAAACTGAGCAACATTTCGGCTATTGAAGAAGCCTGAACTTGTTAAAGATTATGGACAAAGTTGATAAAAGTTAATTTCTCTACTGTCAAAGCTCCTGTTAAAAAGCTTCTAAGATACGATGGCACTGAAATATCTAGCAGCTCTATGATATGTTAGTATTACTAACTGTTTAACCTTGACTCTGGACTTAAGCTATCAAGTGCCTTAATAATACCAAAATGAACATTTATGCTTTGATTTGTTTAGGTGGTCAACTTCAATACCATTTATGTTTCCCTGCCATAGGAAATCATGGACACGAGTGGCTCTAAAAGCACTGCATGCTGCTACTCCAGCACACTATCCCAGATAAAAATCATTAATTCTCACTGGTCAAACTGAAGTGATGTTTGAAAGTGTGCCTGACCTCTGAAAGCTTATTACTGTTCCAGAGATCGCTGTCCCCACTGCAGGTTTTTGAGGCATTGACAAGGAGATCCAAGAGCTTCGTGCACAGGACTTGCATAGGCTGGTCGGCTCACCTGCTGGATGTGGTGCTTGAGCTATATTAAGAGCATCTTTGAAGTGTTTCCTGACACATCACAAAATAAATAAATAAATAAATAAATAGATAAAATTTGCAATTCTAGTATTCTTTCCATTGATGATTCTGGTGTTTTACAAACTGATAGCTATATCATTCAAATTTTCTGAGTTTTACAAGTTTAGAAACTGAAACCTACGTGATTTGCCATCATGATACTATAATAAATTATGTACTGTAGCCTGGCATCCCTGATGTCTAATCTGGTGTGACAAGAATTTTATATGACAGTATAGTGAAACTATGGTAAGATCAGCCATTTGACTTGGCCTGTGTGAATGCAGTGTGATTCTGGAGGTTTTTTTCCAGCAGATTTTGTACATATCAAACCGGCTTAACTGCCTAAGTATGCTACCAGTTTCACTGGTTACGCTGAATAGAATACCAGCTCTGGTGTTCCAAGTGGCAGAGAGGTATGCATTCTCCCCTTTCTGAGGTTTTTCTAAGGAAATATCTCTTAGAGATAAAATGATTTTTAAAAAAAGAAGCATTTGTCTTCAGCAGTTAAGAAAGATAGCAACCACCTACAATCTGTGAGGACACTTACATAAGAGTCGTTTACTGTACAGTAGTTCTTTCCCAGTACTGGCATACTGCTTCTGAGTACTTGTCAGACAAATATGAACTGATGCCTTGCCTGCAGTGTTGGTGCATGTTTTGATAATCTACTCTGAAGGTTAAATAGGAAAATAATTTTGTTCTATTACTCTTACCTGTTTTGCCTGATTGCGTGTAAAAAAACCCTCTAAACTTGAAATCCTTTTCAACAGTTGCAGAGGAGTGGTTTTATTTTAATTACTACAAATAAAATGGTATTATATTTAAAAAACTTTGTAAGTAGAAAGGGAATGGCAGTTCATACAACTTTCTAACCTTCAGGTGTGTTAGTTTGAAGGAGTGCTAGCCTCTGAAGAAATATCCATTGATTTCTGTTTGTCAAATTAGCTCTGTATAAAATGATGCTTTCCCAGATGACACAGAATTATGTAGAATATTTTTACTTAGAATATTAAGATTTCCATTTAACAATACGGATGTTTTAGTGGAGTATTTTTACTATATATATTTCTACTGTTGTGTTTGAATTATGTCACTGATACGCTTCCGTGCCTTGGCCTGCTTAAAATCAAGGGCCACATAGGTAACGGTTAGCAGCTGTAAATGCAGATGGCAAATATGAAGTAATTCTTTGTAATTCTTTAGGACTGAGTAGGTTTTAAAGGGATGAGAAAGAAGAAGCAAATGTATTTTCTTTAACTGTAATTAAACAGTGCTACGATTGTACTATGGCACACAGAATTCTAAATCAGATCACAGTTTCTCACATGATGACTGAATAAAGTATTCAGTGTACAGTGTTTGATCTCAAAGTAAGCAAATGTTTTCTCCTATTTTTTGTATTTCAATTACTGCTCACCAGTCAATTGTATTACAAGTGCTGGAATGTGTTTTGGCTTTTGAAAACTGAAGGTAGATGAGAGATGTCCTGCATAACTGATCTGGTTTCACAGTGAAGTAAGTTGCTGGTCGTAACTTCCAGCTGATGCCAAACAAGTTGTATGCATCTCCTCTAGCAGTTAAAATGAGTGTGCTGGAAACCAGTGGTGGTTTATCACCTCATAGATCAATCAGTGTACAAGAGACATTGGTTACATAGAAGTCTCTTCCTAGTTCTTTTAAGTTTCATAATTACTTTGTCAGTCAGTAAGGAAAGCCCCGTTGCCTAAGACAAATTGTTAATTTTGTGAAGGTTGCGTTTAGGTGTTTTTCTTTTTAAGAAGTTGAACAGCTGATTTTGCCTTAGATTTTAGTGGAACAAGAATGAAGTGTTAGATGCATTGCTTGTATTTTATTGCAAGTCTACAATTTGTCGTCTTTTTGCTATGCTTTCAGTGTTCCGTTCACTGATTCAGCAGGCACAGATCTGAGCCAAGTTTTGATGATGTAGGTCATGGACTTTTTTATATTGATACATGAGACGTCTAGGATTAGATGATCCTTTGAGAAAATAGCTGGATGCCTAACAGCCAACAGGTAAAATGTCTTCCAGCATCCTTTCAAAAAGAAAGAGGAAAGAGGACCTTCTGCATGTAGTAGCTGTGTGTAACAACCTTACCCAGTTCCGTCAGCCTTCACAGACAGCTTCTGGAGGAAATAACAGGAATAACTTTTTGGCATCTACTGTGGTGCTTCAGTGTACACCTACCTGGCATGCCACAGCCTGTTCCCAATTTTCTTCATAGAGTCCCATTGCTATGAAGCTCTATGAACAAATAAATAGCGGATGTCGCTGTAAATTCATTTAGTTATTTATGAACACATTTCTTTCTAGTGGTTAAAATGGTGTACAATTCTTGAAAAGGTTTCTCAAAAGAAATGTAAGACAAAGAATTTGTTTTGCAGAGAATTGGAAACTTTCAGATTAGGGTTAGAGCTCTGAACTTTGTTTTAGAGGCTTCCTGATAACCTGGCCAATTTGGATACTGTGTGAAAGCATCGTAACAAGTGGGATTTCAGATCTGCGGAGAGCAGCATTGTCCTGCGTTACAGCAGAGCCGCAGGACAGAGCAGTCACAGGTAGCAGCAGCACGGGACGTTGTTTTTGAAGAGAGGGGATGCAGGGGGAGAATTCTGAGTGAAGTTCCCCGGAGATGATGCACACTGCCAGCTCTGTTGACTTTCAGAACTTAGCGAGACAAGTTACCAAGCAGCAGGTAGCTGCTCTGAGCTGGGAGCTGGGCTGGATAACCTCCACAAGGTCCCTCTGAGTTCAGTTTAGTCAGATTCAAGCTGTTTTTTTTGTGTGAGAAATCAGTCTGGTTTGAGTTGCTATGCAGTACTATGAGTAATGTCATTTAATGCAATCTGTAATCGGTACTTGCCTTTCTCTTGGTTGAAGCTGGACAGCCGAGCCACATTTACACACAGTTCTGAAACCAAGATGAACAAATAGACAATGAATTAATTTGCCTCAGTTTTTTAGGACTGGTAAAATTTAAATTGATTTAAATTAAAGCAAGGTATTTTGTTACCTCTCGTGGAAAACAGTTTAGTCAAAAGCTAACATGCAGCTTAATAAATGTGAAAGCTTTCTACATGACAGTGTTTCTGTTAATTTTTATATGGAGTTAAATTTGTGAGCACAGCTAATGTGGTTGGATCTCTTTGGAAAGTGATTCCAAGGTGTAAGTCACAGCCAGTAAACTGGGGATAAAATGCTGTGATTACAAGCAGATAAGCAACTAAATTTTCACTAAAATTCTGCTCTGAAAAGAATTGCACGGTTAGTAATGAACTTAATTTGTGTGGGTGAGTGGGAGTTTGAGCAGAGCATAATGTCAGTAAAACAAATGAGAGCTACGTAAATTGTGCTTCCAGAAGCTAAGAACAAAGAAAAAAATTGTGTAACACTGAGTTAATGTGTCTTAATTTAATGTGAAAGCACCAATTGGTAACTATGGAAAATAACAAAAAATATGCACTTCACCATCATAATTGTTCTACTGTAGTATCAATCAAGCAGCGCTGGCTTACGTTTCTTACTTTTAAATTGGTGCTTTCAGCAGCATGATTCCTCTATCCCTTTCTATAGTGTAGGCCATTCTTTGATGGTCACTGAACATTCTGTCATCTTTAAATGTCAGGTAACACATGAGATGCTCTGCTGTGGTCTCTGAACCACATGTTGTGTGCAGATGGTCACTAAATACACACTGCAGCATAGAAGCATTTATATTCAGCATACCAAAAGTCTGAACTTTAAATACAGGCAACAGCAGTGTTTCCTAAGAAAAAATGATTAAAAATAATGAAACAGTTTAACATTAGGACATTGATTTTGTTTAATGGTTCTCCATGAATTGTTATTTCATATCGATCATGTTTCCAGGAATCTGAGGGTGAACTGTATTGAAGTCCGTAGTGATTTTATTCAGGTTTCAGTGAAAGAAGCTCTCTGAGCTTTGAAGAGCTTGTACCATGCTTCTGTATTCCTCACTGCGAACCAAGTACCACATGAATGATAGAAAGTAAAGAAATAAGGAATGGGGATGTTTACTTCATTCTAGAGAGGACCTTTACAATGAGTGGCTAGTGTGAAATAGAATTAATTTGAAAAATTTCATGGCAACAAACTTTCTGTGTTGGAGATTAACTAATCCTTGTGTGGTTCTGTGGCAGAATCAAGTCCTGAATCAATACCAAAGTTGATTATTAATGCTGAGAAAAGTTTTGCAGTGTTTCAAAAAAATTAGAAGCTATTTGTATGTTGCCATACACTCATTCAGTATTTGCTAATAGAAGCTTCTGGGAAAAAAAAGAACATTTGACTGATGACCCTGTGTCACCTGCTGGGACAGGAGCTTGGGGACATCCATGTTAAGGGCTAATAACGTAATTTTTCTGTAAAAGCCAGCGGAAAAACTTCTCTGAAGTGTTAAATTGCTTGCAAATACATCGCTTTAGTGCATTTTTCTTAAATCTGTGCTGGTTGTGGAAAAGTATTAGATGATGTAAATGTAATTTAAAAGCTGAATCCTCTGTGTCGAGGAACCGACCAAAGCTGGCAGTAACATGTCTACATTATATTTCTTTTTTTCTTTCTTTATTAGTTTTATCAGCTTTTGTGTGATTAAAAGATTGCTTGCTTTCCCTCTCTCCAGAGGACTGAACACAATGGATCACGTGGGGACAGCAGATGCTGAGGACGACCCTGGATCCCTGCCACGTCTCGCCCCCAGCCCTCACAGCGAAGCGGTCGCACACGAGTTTAAGGAGCTGTCCCTGCAGCCCAGCCAGTGCTTGCCTCCTCTCACTGAGCGCAAGAATGGTGAGTGCAACAGGAGCTGTTCTCCCTTTGCTCTGTTGTTTTCTCTGGGAATAATGATCTTTGTTTGTTTTCTTCAAATAACATTGACCGTTCTCACTTGCCTTTCCCAAACCACATTTTGTGGAGTTAAAGTGCCCATAGTGTTTGCTTGTTATGGAATCTGTCTGGAACAGTTTCACCCGTCATGGCGGATGGAAGCCTGACCTTAAAACTCCAACAGGAAAACTTTGCTGAGGCACAGAGAATGGAGGCGTTATAAATAATTTTTAAGCAATAGATAATGTGCAAGATAAGTAGTAATTACCTATTTTTGAAAGTAGTTTTATTGTTATTAGACCAAAAAAAGGAATAATTAAGAACGGATTTTTCTGTAAAAATAATACTGAGTTGAAGTTTCGCATTGTATCCTAGAAAGTTTAATTCACCACATAGTTTATGGAAGAACAATGAAAGAAAATAAGATCTGCGTTTCAGAAGCCTTTCCAATACCTCTCGTTGTTGATGTTGGCATGGCAACTGAAAAAAAACGTGCTTCCTCTGTTACAATAAGCATTGGGAAGAAATCTGAATCCAAATGTAGACTGCAAATCCAAATGTAAGACTGAATCCAAATGTAGGCTCATTTTTATTGGAAAGAAGGCAGGAACCCTTGTTTGTGGTGTTTGTTTTCTCAGGCTAATATCTTAAAATAATAAAGATTTGATTTTTTTAATATTAACTGTGAATATTGGGAACATTGAAAGTATGTAAATGCAGTATTTGAATTTGAGCGTTTTTTTTAATGAGCACTAATAGCAGTAAGCTATTAATGAATTCAGTTGCAACGGTATAAGCATTATTACATAAGAAGGCAGCTATCTGAGTATCTCTGCTTTAAAGCAGAAAATATGATGTCTTCTTACTCGGCTGTGTATCTCACATAGCTAGGGATGTGTCCATGTCACAGCACTGTTTCAGAAGCACAGCACGGGGTCTGTAATTTCACACAGGAGGCATCAAGTCCCACGGTGCTTTGCTTGCATCCCCCAGAATCATACTGAATTCCAAGCGAGAGAAACGGAATGATGGGAAAACATGGCAGGGGAGAGACATAGGCTTAGCTTTTTTGAATATGGAATGAATACCACTTTGAATACTTGGGCTTGTATTTTACAATTGCTTCCTTATTTTTGTCCGTATATGTAGATCCTGATACAGAGAATACTGTGTTTGCTGGTATATTAATAAACTATTTTAAACCAAGGGATCTGCAACTTACTTACTAGTACTTTGTCTCTATATCCTTAAGAATTCTGTAATGTAGAAAAAAGATCTGTAACTTTTTGTCATTTAATATTTGATATTAAATGGATAATCTATATGATTCAGGGACGTACTTTGAATCTAAAGTCAAACTTCACGCATCTGAAGGCTGCTACCAACTTCATATTCGTGAAATTAAACTGCAGAAATCCCTTTTGAGATGGCCAACTTCTACAGTTCTTTTTGTAAGCAATCTTGCTGAGTATGTAAAGCATATATTTATCCTGTTCATGTAATGTCTTTGTTCCATTATTATTCTGCTTTTATGAATACAGAAAAATTGTCAAACAAGCAAAGAAATAAGTTGTGATTTCATTTTAGTATTTCATTTTTAGTTCTTCTGTATCAGATGATTGTTTCTTTTCTTAGGCATTCCTCCTGTAACTTGAAAATACTCTTGTACTTTAATAAATTAGGAAAATAATTTGTAGGTAAGTTTTGTATTAACGTCAAATACAAGCTGTTAATTATTTATTTTCCAAGGAAATGTCAGCAGCAAGAGATTATAATGCTTAAGGACCCTGGCTTCTTGGAATAGCAGATTTTCATAAATAAGGGGAAGAAGGGAGGGATTAATGATTTGCAAAATTGCCTTTCATTCCTCTGTGTCAGTTCTCTACGCCAGTTGGTTTAAGAACAGTTACCCTTCATTATTTATCATAATTCCTCTTATTTAGTAAAACAACTTTGTGTGTATCAGGCCTCCCACAAAGATTTTTATGTCCTCTATGAGGACATTCAATTGTAGGAAGCTCACGTAATGGGCCATGGCCTCACATCATTTAGGTCCTTTTATAAGACTAAGTCATTTGTTGTTTCCAAGGCAGTTATTAGCACAATCCTACCAATTTTAAAAACAAAAATAGAACTGCGGAAAAGATTGAGAGTTCATATTATTGGAGAATTGTTTTAGAGGAACAAAGTCTCGTAGACATGGTAAAGAAGCATTTGATGGACACCAATACCATTTTCTACTCTTTTTTTTTTTGCTATTTCTCATATTAATGAAATGTCCTGCCATAGAGAACACTCTTCCAGTAGTACTTAAATAACTTCTGAGTGTCCTGAAGAGGAGCATCCCATTATGTCTCCTGCTGTTACGGCAAAGAAAGAGCTGACTGTCTCTGACTTTATACTGACTGGCTGTTGTTCCTGGAAGCAGTGGCCATTTTGTGTTCCTGTTATTTTCCTGAAGCAACAAGAAGAGCTGTGGGCACTGTGATCTTCCAGAGCACCGAAACTATTGCTCACCCATAATGTCAGGTTGTAGTCATTTGGGTTAATGGGAAAATTTGAGCTACGTTTTTCTAGAAGTTGTGAAAGTCAAAGTTAAAAAGAGCACAAGTAAAATTTGAATTTGATTTATTGATATTTAAGAAGCTTTAAAAATTAGTATCTGTTCTAACTTTTTACCAGGACTGAATTTCTTCTGGGGTATTTTAACAAGTCAGTATTTTACGAAGTCTAAGTATGAAAGACTTCCGTATACAAAAGTACAATGGCGTTCCGTTGAAAAACATAGAATATTTAAGGTTTTCTGTTGAATATTTTCATGCAGGAAGCATTATATTTCCTGCGAGCTTCAGTAGAGATTCTTTAAACTTTCTGTTTACTTCTATGAGACTCTTGGATGCAGTCCAGTAGAAGGCTGAATTATTCTAGTATTGTCTGCATAGTGTTCAGCTTTTATAAGTCAGGAGAGAAACTGCATTTCAAGCTTTGTTGTTAACAGGACAAATGTGGAAGGCTTATGGTTTGGTTTTACGTGGAGATAATTCACAGCAGGGTAAGAGAAACATG